CTGAAGATCACTGAAGTTAGCAGATGAAAAGAGTTAGAGCTGAAGAAAGTGCTAAGAAAAGTGCTATACTGGAAGAAAAAAAAAAAAAAAAAAAAGGAAAGAAAACATTTGCATTCATAAAGCAATTCTTAACCCTCATAATTTGCTACCTTGGGTTTTAGCTCCCTGTAGTTTAGAAATCAGCATTTAAATCAGCTGGACAATATTGAATCTACCCTGGTGTCAGGACTTAAAGCTTCTAATACACACTTCTTTTTTTTTATTTTCGTAATTCTTGAATGTGTTGTTTTTGGATCAGTGACATTTTTTGAGCAATTTCAGTCAGAAACCATCTGCAATTTGCAAATAGCATTGTACTGTATCCCTTGCACACTGTGCTGCTTTCCAGCCACTCCCCCCCTCCCCTGCCCCAAACAAGTGCCTGTCTTGGGTTAGAGAAAAGATGTTGTCTGTCCCCATGAGGTGATGTGCTCATACATTTTGTCTGTATTGTAATCCTGTTATAATAATGCATCTGCACTGACAAATTGCAGCTTTGTTGTTCACAGGCATTGAGACTTGGAAGATTTAATGTCCAGAGTGTGATTGCCTTCAGAAAGCTCTGTGCACGTCTTGCAGGCTGATAAGGCAGGGTACAGGCACTGCAGCACAGAGTGCACCCAGGGCCACGCTCAGGGTAAAGGCCTTGCTGGTGAATTGCCAAAGGGATCAGGATGGGAGGGGCCTGATGATTTTTTTCCCTACTGCTGATGTTTCAGTGTCCAGTCTGTGATTTTGTTGTGTTTCTGCTGCAGAGCTTCTCATGGACCGCTCGGGGCAGGTGAAATACTCGGTGCAATCACAGTTTGGGGAGAGTTTGGTGTCAGGATTTAGGTGTTTTTCAAGTAACAGGATGAGTTTTGAGCATGACACAGGGAGGGGGTAAAACCCAGGGCACTGTGCAGAGGGTGGAGAAAATGCACCAGAGTAGGATGTAGGAGTTCAGCGCATTTTTGGGGTTCTAAACATCTGGCGTTTCTCTGTATTCATTTTGCTTAATTTTGGAGCCTGTCCTTAAACTGACTTCCAAGAAAACGTTCCTGAGGGCATGAGATTTCCTGCAGACTCTACAAAATGAGTTTGTTTTTCTTTTGCCATTTTCTACTCTGTTGTTTTATGTGCCAAGTGCATTTGCAGATGGAGCACAGGCAGTTTTCTAGCACGATGGTTTAATGGCATCCAAAGGCTTGTAACCACAAGCTTTGGTGGGACAGAGTAGGAAAATGCAGTGTAAATGGTGCATATGAATTTAAATGAATTGGCCTCTAACTGTAATAAAGGTAGAAGATTAATTACCTTATTCTAGGTGCTATAAATTATTTATATTATGGTTTTATGTGAATGACTAATAAATTACACGAAGGGAGGCAAGTTTAAAAAAGAAAAACAACCTACAGTGTGGGTATATTTTATCTGTATGTCTTAACTAAATATGTGTTTGAATTAGGGAAAGCCTTGCACTGATTTCAGCTTTTACCCAGCTAGAAGAATGCAAGGAAAAGATAAACAATAAATTCTTCCAGAGAAAATATTTGGTAAAAAAAGTCAAAACTGTATTTTTATTTTTATTTTTATTATTATTTTTTAGTTTTGGAGTTAACATAAATATGCTACAACTGAATAAGCCTTAAGAGGGAAAAGAATTTTTTTTGGTATAGTTCTTATCTGCTGATTATCCAGCTTGCTTGCTCCTTTGAGCTTAGTTTGCTGTGTAGTGCTCTGCTTTCTTGGTACCTGAAACTTGACATAAATCTGTATATAGATTTCTGTCATCATCTCTATAAAAAAAACCCCCCAACTTTGTTATAGAATCTTGTTAATTGTAAGCATTGTTGAGAAGCATTAAAATATTTTTTAACCATTCATGCCTTTTCCATTTTGAAGATAAAACAGAGTTCCCATCTTATTGCAAAGTTAATAAAAATTTCAAAAAGGTACATGTTAATCTCTAAGAGATGCTAATAAATGCTGGATATAACTGGAATTAGATAACCAGTCTAATGTTTTGGAGTTGTCCTTTTGTCTTGGAGCAAGAAACTTAAAGTATTCATTGATCATGTCATATTTGAAGGTTTTTCTTTTACGATGTAATATCTAATGGAAGCCTATATAGTGGTTTATGCAGTTTCTCTGTTAACATCTTACCAACCTTTAGCAGAGAAACTAAAAACAAGCCCCTGAACCAGAACACCAGCAACTGATCTCAGTATTATAGATTTCTTATTTTAAAACAAGTATCCAAAACAGTGTAAAGTATCAAGAATTTTAGTGATGTGAAAATATTTCAAATTTATAGATCATCTGATGCAAAAGAATTGTTTTGCACTCCCAAAGACTGTGGATGATTTCTATTATTTGTAAAAATTTCCACACCACAAGTTACTTGAAGCTTTGTATAGTCATAACTTTTTCTTTTGGAAACGTATTTCATAAAGCTTGCAAATATTTTGACATTTTATTGTATTTTGCTTTTGTTTTATTGTTCTTTTCTTCTTAATACCTCTAAGGTCTAGGTCTAAATTGTAGAATATGTTTGTAATGTACTTTCTTTTCTTCCTATCGCAACATAATTTGAGAAATTATGTTGCTGTCACTCATTTGACTCATTATTGCTCGTTGGGCACTAATTGAGAAAACACAAGGCCAGTGGAACTGCAGTCGCTGTGTCCTGAGACTGTTTCTTAAGCCAAAGTGCTGTTAAAACAATTCTGTAGGATCCAGAGGAGGATTGTTTGATTTTGAGTTTTTTGTTTTGTTTTGTGGCAGTTGTTGGGGGTTTTTTTGTTTGTTTGTTTGCTCTGGTTTTTTTGTGTTTGTTTTTTTGTTGTGTTTTTTTTGTTGTTGGTTTTTTTTTGGTTTTTTTTTTGGTGAGAGCTCAGACAATTAACAGAATCAGGAGGAATGAAAAGCATTTGGTACTTGAAGTTTTATTTCCAGAAGGGGCTCCATTTTCTTGCAAATCCCTATTTACTATTTCATTATTAATAATTTGTGTCTGTCTTCAGTCCAGAGATCCCCTCTTGCTCTGTCCAGCACGTGCCCATCAAAGCCTTTGAGCCACAACAGAGCATCAGTGCAGCACATTTCTGTGTCTGCACGTTCAGGCAATTCACGTGTTCAAATAACAAATGCAGAATATTTCAACTGCCCTGCAAACTGGGATCCCAAATGCCATCCAGAGCTCCGAAATTGCATCCATCGCTTCTCATATTTCAACACCAACAAGACTTTTGGCCTCCATCTATTACATAAACTTGCCAATCTCTCCTCTGGCTGTACAGTCATTACAAGATGAAGAGATTTGAGACCCCTATTTTCCATTTCACCTTTCCCTGACACATCCCCAGTTTAATCTTCCTGTTGCTTGGTTATTGCAAAAATGGGCAAAACCAACCACAGTGAAGCTGAATGTGCTTTCTTCTGAAGATACATTGCAACGTAGAAAGGAACTCCAAGTTGCCATATTAGTGCTAGAACATAAAATAATGTCCACCGTGTCCTAAGGATTAAACAAAGCAGCAAGAAAGAAGGAGAATGAACTTCACTTTGTCATAAATGTATTTGTTGGCTTTTTCCAGCTATCCAGTATACCTAATAATTTGTTAATTGCCCAGCTCTTTGCCTGAGGCCAGAGCCCTCCCTGTTGTCTTAGTGGATTTTTCTACTTTCTTCACAAGGAAGAAACTGTAGAAAAAAACTTGAATCTCATTGATATCTGGGGTTTTTACAGAAGACAAGGCAGGAAAGAGTTTAGGGTTGTGTGTGTGGTTTTTATTTGGTTTCGTAATGGGGTTATTTTAAATAATCCCTTCTGATTCAATTTGTTTTCGCTTTAAGTGTCAACTCTCTGTCTTTGAGGTGAATTCTGTTAACTCACCAGCTGTTTTCCTCAGCATTTGGTGCACACAACTAAATAATAGGTACAAAAATTACTTTACAGATGAGTTTGATAACAATATGGTAGATATTCCTGAGTGCAGTGCTCCCTCCTGCCTGGGGGAGAGCATCCTTTGAATTGCAGTTTGTTCAGCTATCACCATTGTATTACTCAGGGAGGAGCTCCAAAGACAGAACGTTCAGATTGTGCCTGCAGGAGGAAAATGCTGTTTATAAGCATAGCAAAGCTAAGCCTCTTACATTTTCCCCTTCCTTTTTATTTTGTATCTTCGTACTTACCAAAAAATCAGAAGATGGATGGTGAGAGGGGTGCATGTGGAAAAGGTTCGGAAATAAGACACTCTGATGATAAGTGGGGTATCCTCTCCTTAAAGTGTCTTTTTGTGTGATCTTCCTATGTACATCAAGACCAGATATATCCAAATGTTCAAGAGCTGAATTTGAAGGACACATTTTTCTAGAAAAACTTGAGATCCCATTTAAGCATAACTAAAACTGGTTTTCATAAATGAAAAGAGGTGGAGGCTCTAATAACAGTGATTAAAATGTAGAAGTTGTTTTTTTTGTCTACAATGTGCAGAATGCAAATGTAATTTTAGGTATTCTTCCAAAAATAAAGTGAGAAGTTGACCAAGAGTGAAATGTTCTCACCTGGCCTTCTCTTGGTTTTGTGACTTGTTGAGTTGTGTTTCTCTGGTTGTCCTTTGTCTTGCATCAGAGCTTTGCAACTGAAAGCAATTCCTTCAGAAGTGTCTGACCCTAATGATGTCTGACAGTTGAGAACACATTAAAAACACTTTGAAAATTGTCTTTTGCTTTTGGTGTCTTAATTGGAGGGATGTCTGTAAGTGTTGGTTTTCCCATCAGTGAATTACAGTACAATACCCACATCATTTTGTCTTGATAGCTGAATGTTTATGAAATACTTTGGGCTTTTGTTAGTGGCTTTTGAGTGCTAACAGTGCTACTGGGCGTACGTTAAATAATTTCTCTTTAAAAATAAAATGAGCTAAATGGATGTAAAGCACAAACCAAATTAATTAGGCATGCCTTTTCTCTTCTAGTGAACAAACACAAACCCTGGATTGAGACATCTTACCATGGGATCATAACTGAGAACAACGACACTGTAATTTTGGATCCTCCCCTTGTCGCTTTGGACAAAGATGCACCTGTTCCCTTTGCAGGTAGGAATATACACTGACAGCAGCACTTGAGCTTATGGATTGTATTAGAATTTATTAGCATTTGTAAGGATGGGATTTGCAGTGCAGAGTTAATTTAATTTGAAGGACCTGTGAAGGATGTGTAAAGGCTGTGTCTGAGTACTCAGGACCTGACCATTGCCCACAGACCTTGAAATCAGGTGTCTCTTACAATGAATGTGTCTGCTCATTTGTTTCAAGACAGATTATTAACACCATAGTACAGCAGGCTTCCACTATCAACATATTTTTTTAATAAAACACAATATTTATGTAATTAAATTTGAATTTCCCATTATAGAAATGACTCATTATAGTTGCCTAAAGTAACAATGCATAGTTAATTTTGTTCAGTAATAACAGCCTCTGCTTTCTCTCTTCTTATTCTGCTCCCTGGCTGTGGAAAAACTGTGTGACAAATATTTAAAGTTGCTGAAATCATGTGTAACTCTTGTGAGTGCTTTATAACTGTCAAGGCTTGGACAGAAAATTTAATGGCATTTTTGAAGATTTTTGCTCAGGTTGCTGCATGATAGATGTGTGTCATACAGAAGTTTTCATTTGTATTAAGTCTATTTTTCCTGACACTTATTCTGTCATATTATGAGTTCCTTAAGCAGAATAGAGTACTTTTGCATGTGAAGTAAGTTTTCTTTTAAATTCCCTGTTCCATTTTCTTCTTTTTGAAGAAAAACGAGAATAGTGAGGCTTGACAGCTGTTTTGAAGATCCTCAAAAGATGCAGTTGTTAAAAACATGCTATTGCCTGAGAATGTTCCTTATAGAAGGAAAGGGACTAGTAAGATAAGGATCCATGTTCTTGTGGAGTACAGTCATGCTCAGTAAGCAGTAAGTCCAAGTGCTTGGCCCAAACAGCATTTTACAGCATCCTGAAAGAACTGTTATTAGACATTTTCCCCAAAAGCACACACTGGCATCAATCCATACCCTGCCAAGGAGGGATTCACAAATGTTTTTTATATGTTAAGCTGCAGTTTAATATCAAGAGTTGTTTGTCATTCATGGTGCCCCATGGTTCTTGGTTGAACAGAACCCTTTTCCTTCTCAGCCACTGGGGATGTTCAATGGAGGGAACTCAATTTAGTCAGAGGCAAAAGCCTCAAATAGCTTGTGCATGTGGGATGAAAGCCTTTTGTCTGCTGATCCCTTCCTATGGGACAGAGTTATTTGCTAAGGGAGGGACAATCAGTGTCCATTCAAACACAGCCAGCCCTGAACTGGGAGGTGCTAATTAAAATCTGAGCAGGGTCACTTCGTACAAAAGATGTGCAGGATAAGATGTCCTAAATAAGTTAGTTACTACTTTTTGTAGCAGAGGGAAAAAAAGACTCGTTTCCAAGCTGTTTTTTAATGTATTCATCAAGAAGGAACTGTATGTTAAAACAAACAAGAATTGTGTAATGAGAATTGAATGATAAGCAGTTACCTGAGTTGTATTTGAGACCACTTTTGTGTTATAGTGGTAACTTTCACACACGTGTGCAATTCATTCTTCCAAATGCTTGTGTTGACCAATAATTATCTGTGAAATCTTCAGGTACAGTTACTTAGGAATGAAGATTGATTCCTAGTGAAAAGATGCCCTTTTTTTATTTTTTTATTTTTTTACTTAATTTTTCTATTACTATGGATATTCTTTTGCTTCTTTTGCTTGCATTCCCCTAGGATCCTTACAGGAATGATAATCATTTTTGTTTTCACTGACACTGCAAACTGTGCTGACTGGGAATTCGGTAACCTAATTATTTTCTTGACTTCTTACATTGGGAGAGTCAACATGTTTTTCATTAAACAGTGATTTACTTTTCATGTAGAAAATCATCCTTTGAAGTACTGAACTTAGACTGGCTTATGTGATTACATTAAATTACATTAGACAGCATTTTAATTTATCTTTGTTTATTGATTTGAATTATTTATATTATAAGAAGTGTCTAGGAGGGAAAATACTTTCTGTGTATTCCCTTGTATAAATGGTTCATTTCTAGATAATATTGTACATTTGGCCTAATGATCTGCAATAATACAGTACTGATTGAACCCTTAATTCCCTTGAAGGGTCTGGATTCCCTGCATGTTTGGAAAAGCATGTGCTTCTCTTTAAAGACTCTTGCCTTTTTAAATTTTTTGAGGAATTTGTTATTTCTGTTTTAATTTCTGCTTTACTATCATGTAGTTTTATTTGATTTCATAATATCATTAATTTTATCGTATGTTTTTATGGAAAATTCAATTTCTCTAATGTATTTAGTAGGAGAGAGTTGAAATAGATTCAACTACAGTATTAACAATGTTAGTAGTTGTACATTTAACAGTGAGCTAATGTGGAGTGTCTTCTATGGCCATATTTTGTTTAAGTGTTGAAAAACTTATTTTACGGTAAAATATATCAGTATTCCATTGTAACAGAGAATCAGAGTTCCTTTACCATCACCCTGTTACTATTGCAGTATTTTGTCCAAAGAAGTAAAAAAAAATATAGTATTTGGAAACATTTTGCATTTTTGTTGGTTTAGTTTTTTTAATAGGCCCAGATTCAAGAGTATATCAGGGCAGTTTTTGGTCTCTGCTGAGATATCTACTTAGATCTCCTTGAACAAACTGTATTAAGATGAAATGTATGTGGTGTCTTCCTCTGGAACTACAACCACCCCAGTAGATTGTTGGCTGTTCCATCAGCATCTGTGTCAGTTTATAGAAACAGACTTTTCACCCCCAGTAGTATCAGTGTGTATTTGACTTTAAAAAATACACACACACACAAACCCAACTGGCAAATGAGTCCCTCCAACAAAGTGAAACAAACCCCAAATCCCAAACAAACCAACCAAGCCCCAACCCAGCTGCTGTGTATCCTTTCACTTTGCATACGGGCGTAAGTTCTGCGGGAACAAAACGGAACTAACAGGAAGCACATCCAGATAACCGTGAGGTTGATGTTCCTAGGGGGTATATATAACCTGGATGTTACATGGACAGATGTTATGTGGCTCTCTCTACTTTTCTTAGTTTACTCCCTTTTAACTGCTCCTCTTCCATCAGGGACAGGTTTAGGGAAATTTGCAGGGTTTATCATTGAAAGATATGACAGGTGAAATGCGTATTTAGATCATACATTTGTGTATTAATTTGTAGTTATTTATGCCATATTTTTATCTTGCTAGGGAGGGTCTAGTCCTTTTGGATCCATGCTGAATTTGTGGAAGGAAGGGTAGGGAGTCCTTATGTTTCTGGCCAAGGCATATCTCCAGCAAGGAGGAGCAGTAGTGTCAATCCAGAAAGTCTGGCATGTCCAAATGAGTGCTCAGGGGCCTCATGGGAGACTTTGAGTTCTCACTGAGGTTTTGTCTCCAAATAATGTGCACTGCAGACAGTGGGATTGCACCGTCCTGTCCAGGCCAGAAGGCACAGCTCTGCTGTACAGCTCTGGCTCACAGCAACCAGGACAGGCTGTTCTACTCCTGGTAACAGCTCTAAGTTCAGCCTGGAAGTGGTGTTAGTGTTCCAGCTCCAAGCTGTGTATTATCAGGGATGCTTTGAGCAGTGCATAGATCACCTTGCCCCTGTTGATTGCCCTGGTGCACAAGCAGTTTATGCGTTTGATATTTTTCACCTGAGCAAATAATTTTTCACCAAATAACCCCTCTGTTATTAAGCACAGCAGAACAGAGCTCTTAAGAGACATTTGTTATTCAGTGATTCTTATCTGCCTTTAGTGCTTTCAATTGTTTTCCATACCCATTTTCATATTCCCAATTTTTTAGTTTAAATGTTGCTTGTGGCATAGACCTTCTCTAAACTGTAAAAAGTATTTTCATTTTCTCTTATGGAAACTTTAACATTTTTCCTTATACCTGTGCTTTCTTCATCACCATGGCTACTAAGGCAAGTCTGTCAACCCCTTCTGGTAGGATACACATTATGGTGCACATCAAACCCAAGTGGTCACAAGAGAAAATTACTATAATCTGCACTTTTTTTTCACCTCTAATTTTTAACATCAAGGGTGATGACAGAAGAAAGAGGAATCTTCTGTGCAGTTACCCTCTCAAAAGGTTTGTTTTTCCAGGAAGGACTAAGGAGAGACTAACAGGACTAAATGTGCCTGTGAAAATACTGGCTGTCAAATGTGATCATTTCATAAGGCCTGCTTCATAACTGGAGCATGAAGACTTTCACAAGATTGCAATAAATGGTTTTTGGTGTCTCTTTATCTTATGAATTTATTGTGAATAATTGAAGTATATGTAAAAATCAGCATGGTATAAACATACCCACTTTCTCTTTTCCATGCAATTATGTTGTTCAGTCTCCTGGTTGTGAAGGAAAGCTTGAAAATACCATTGTAAGCTTGTAAGTGTGAGAAGGATTAACAGTTTTCCATATTTCAATTTTTCAAGTACTGACTTGAAAAGGATTTTCGCATACAAGTTGACATACAACTGATCTTTAAAATAATTAGACTCACTACTGTAAGCTGGAGCCTTTTGCAGGGTATCACAGACATTCCCCCATCCCCTCCCAAACTCCTTGGTCAAAAAAAAAACCCAAACCCCAAATAAAACTCCACAAAAATCCACGAAGAAACTGCAGGCTTTGTGTAGGTGCAGTATGGGCTTATTTATATCTCATTTGGGGAAATCCATCAGAGGAATCTCTCTTTAAAAGCATATCATAAAATGTACCCAAAAGAAGGAATTTGACTTCAATTAGTCTTACACCAACCTGCAGGCTCAGCCATACAACAGTCAGCTCACATCCTGGTGATGAGGCTGGTAATCACTTCAAGGATTTGACTTTCAGGCTTAGGGGTGGTTTGGCTGGAAACAAGGTGAGATCCACTAAATCAATTTGACAGCATTCTGTTTGTGTGATAGCAAGAGCCCTCACAAAATGCTGCAAGATTATGGAAGGCTCTTGGAAAGGACAGCTATCTGCATTTCAATAAGAGCAACAACATTT